CCCGCCCCCCGCCCCCGCTGCGGCCCTCTCGCGCGTCTCCCGCCCCTCAAAGCCACAGATCATCTTCGGATTCTTCCCCAGAAGCTTCAAGGTAACTTCGTCCCTCCAGCACCGGGGTTCGCCCGCTTCCTCCCTGTCTTCCTGGGCAGCCTGCGGGGCACCAGCCTCGGGAAGGCCTGGAGTGCGGTGGGCCGGGGTGCGGGAGAGAGAGGAGGGCCCGTCCCACTTGTCTGATTTACCTGCAGATGCTTCGGACGATGCCTCTCCTGCACTCTTCCCCCCTGACCGCTTTTCTCCACCTTCCGGCATTGGAGGCGTGTTCTCGGACCCCCGATCCCCCGACGGGGCGGGGAGGAAAAGGGAGATCGGGGTGGTGAGGATTCTGTGGCCGCTGATCTTCAGGGCTTGGGGTGGAGGTGGCTGGGAGCAAAGTGGGTATGGGAGCTCTCTCTCCCGACGAACCTCTTCCCCGCGGTTCTCCACCCGCCGCCGCCTTTGGCTCACCCTGAGCCTGGGACATGCCCGATGCTGAGAGGATGAGGCTGCGGGCGCCGCGGTCCAGGGCGAAACCTGTTTCCCCGGGCTTCGCCCCGCTGCCGCTGCACGTTCAGTTCTGCAGCGCTTCAGGCTTGAGATCCTTGACGTCGATTCTTGGCCGCGGACATAAGGGCCAAGGGATTAAAAAAAAAAATTTGCTATCAATAAACCACTTTTACAAGTGGGAGATGAGGAATAAAGAAGAGATAAAAAGAGTAGTGGAGGAGCAGGATTTACTGAAATAATTGGGTTGTTACGGTTAAATGAAATCTAAACAATTCACATGCCAGATGGGGAAAGCGGCCCCTAAATTTACAGTGTACAAATATGATGTGGAAGCTTGTCGCTGATGCAGTCATTATGAAAAATTTTAAGTGATCTTTCTTCTGTAGTCATACATAGTTTACAATTCCATTTTGAATCTGTCACATATTATCTAAGACTAACAGATAAATTTCTAAAAACTTTTTTTAAAAAAAAAGAGAACCAGAATTTCAACCCTCAATATCATATGGTGTTGTGTGCTTTTTTGTACGTGTGTTTTTTAATGTTTTTGTTATTTTTACTTTGTCAGAAACCAGGTTATTGAGATAACTTTTTATTCTTACAGGTTCAGGAAGAAACTACCTTACCCTTTCATTTATAGATTAAAAAACATTTGTCTTAATGTTTGGAATGACGGCATTTCCCTCATATACATTATTTCTATTCCAGTCTGCCATTAATCTTGCATTGAAATAATGGCATCTGTTTAAATTGTTGAATGAAATTGAGCTCAACACGTTACTTTTAGGAAATAGCCTTCATTTTAATAATTTGACAGGGTTAAAAAAATCCAAAAGAACTGTTCAGTTTCATCAGTTTGATGGAATGAAAATTAATATTTGATAATGAACTTCAAGGGAACTCAGCTTGGTTGTTTAAGTGGGTTGTGAATTTAAGTTCTCATTTCAACTTTGGTGCATGATTTCATCATAGTTTATTAAGCTTTAATAACTTAAGATGCCTTCATTAAAAAAGATGTCTTTGAAATGATTTTAATTATGCCTTTTATGTGTTCTGTTTAAAGTAATCTAGCCTGTTCTTATTTGCAGTGTGTTGTAGTTTATCATAGCAAACACAGCCAGCACATTGCATTAAAAGTCATGCCTAGATAGTTTCAGTAATTGTAAATGACACTTGCTGCGATACATTGGTGTGGATGCTTGAAGTAGCATACGGGTTTCAACTGCAGAGCCCATTCATAATATTAAATATCTTGGGAAAATGTATCAATGGAAGTTTTCCAGCTGCAGAATAGTTCCAACATTACTTCAGGAATCTCAAGATGAGAAGAGCTTTGTAGTTAGAAAATGAGTAGATAGCATGGAGTTCTTCAAGTCTAAATGAGCATCTTTAATGCTTATCATAGCAGGAACAGCATAATACATTAGAATTACAGTATTGCATATATGGTAGTTATATTACTTCTGTTTTTCACCAAATTTTTATGTTTTCTCATTGAACATGACTTAGTTGATTTTATTTGCTTTCTTTATTACATAGTCCCATTTTCATGAATATTGTATATGAGAATTTTAGAATTTATGCAACTCACATTTATGCTTTAGCCTTGGGAATATATTTATGTTACCTCTTTCTCTTCAGTAGGGATATGTCCTCAGCACCAACTACTCCTCCATCAGTGGATAAAGTAGACGGATTTTCTCGGAAGTCCGTCAGAAAAGCCAGACAGAAGAGGTCGCAAAGTTCCTCACAGTTTAGGTCTCAAGGCAAGCCTATTGAGTTAACACCTCTGCCACTGCTGAAAGGTAAGGCTCATGACCAGGTGATGGATTCCTTTTCAGTTGATCTTTTTAAAGCTATATATAATTTCCTTTTTGTAGAGTTTCATATTTGTTAAATTTTGTGTCACAAATTGAGGGATGGGAGATTTCAGACTTGTTGAAGTTATTGGTGTGTGACCAGATACACCCTTTCTCCCTTTTAAAGGGCTCAATTTAATATAAATAGTTGTGGATAAATGAAAAAAACAACAACTTATTATCAGGAGGATCTCTCACATTGATAAGTAGGAAAATTGACTGCCAGAGAAAGTTTAAGATGTCTGGGTCTGTATTTTTCATTTGACATTTTGATGTACACGTTGTGTGCAATGATAATTTCAAATTGTACAGTCTTAATTACAGGAAGTAGACCTAATAGAGGAGATGGTACCATTAACTTACATATAAAAAAATGATGTTTGAAAGATTTCATTTTTAAAAATCAAGAAAAAGATGGACAATGTAGTAATTGATTACATGCATTCTTGTTTTCAGATAGTGCAAATATAAAGTATATGTGATGATCATACTTGTTTAATAATAATTTTTCTCTTTACATTGGAATAAATTAAGGACTAGTTTTTTAATATGAACTTGTTTTTTTAAATTAGACCTTTCAACTTTTGTTTAGGTAGGTGGATACTTTTGGTTCCTTTTTAAAATTTTATCTGTTTGCTTTATGTTTATGAACAGGCATTGTTTGAAATGTGTTGAAATGTAACATCTATGTCATGCAATCTATCAGAATCTACCTTTGAAGGTAGAGTTTTGTCTGCCTCACACTTAAGAGGGAAGAGAAAGGGGACATGCACAACATAAGGCACTATAGTGGCTTAGAGGAAATCAAAACCTGGTTTGCTATTTCATTCATGAACATTTATTTCTGTAATTGTGAAACCAGAAGTTATTATAGGAAAAACTAGATTGGCTAGATGATCCTTAAAATTTAGCTTAGGATATTTTAAGCTTGTATTTTTTTCCTAGTGAACATTTTTTTTAAAGGGAGGAAGATTCATAAATGAGATTCTAATATTTATACTTGAAATCAGTGGACACTAAATGAATACTGGTTATTGTAAAGATGGTATGTTTATCAGTTAGTAAAGATGAGGTTTTATGAGTTGGGAGGGGAGGGGAATATTCTGGCTAAAGATTTTGCTTAAAGAAAAAAAATAGTCTTTATGAAACTTTGGAAGAAAAATGAAGGAAAAACTCTAGTGATAAAATTAACCATGCTTGAAATACAAAGTTGGGAGGCATACATTGGATTCTTTAGTTACTTATTTACTCTGATATCCTATATAATAAAGCTTATATGCTAAGTGTCCGGTCGACCAGTCGGCTGTTCAACCAATCAAAGTGTAATATGCTAATAATATGCTAAGGCTGCTGCTCAACTGCTCGCTATAACACGCACTGACCACCAGGGGGCAGACAGTCGACCGGTTGACCAATTGCTATGACGTGCACTTACCACCAGGGCGCAGACAGTTAACCCGTCGACTGGTTGCTATGACACGCAATGACCACCAGGGGGCAGACACTCAATGCAGGAGCTGACCCCAGCCTGCAGGCCTCAGGCCAGCCAAGGCGGGTGCCAGCAGGGGTGGGGGTGGGGGGGAGCCCCATCACCTTGCTGGGTGGGACGCCCAGCAGAGAGAGGTGCCCTGTGGCTGTGGTGGCACTGGTGGTGAGTGGACAGCGCCAGGCCGGCCAAGGTGGGTGCCAGCGGGGGCCCCCCTGGTTGTCCCCCAATTGCCCCGCCATTTGCCCCACAGATTGGCCCTGATCGCTGGCCAGGCGTAGGGACCCTACCCATGCATGAATTTCATGCATTGGGCCTCCAGTTAGAATATAATCTTCTTTGGTTTAGGAACCTTGTTTCTCTTATCTCTAGTTCCTACATTAGTGCCTAGTACGTAGTTGGCATTCAATAAGTGTTTGTTAGTAAATGAATGAACATTGTTAGTTGACATCTAGGTTATTAGTAATAGTAGGATAGACATTTATTTTTCTTCCCTAAATATTAAAAAAACTTTTCCCCCAAATCCAGGCCATGAAAATTTTAACTTGTAATTTATACAAAATTATAACCTTGTTTAATGAAGACTTTTTATTTGTAGAGGGATCAATTTGCTGAGTATTCACTTAAACTCCTGAGAATGGTTTTTTGCTCTGGAAATTCTGCATGTTTCAAGTTGAAAATTCAGTGGTATCTTGTAGTAAGAGGGTGGAGTGGATTTCATATATGACATATTAAGAGCGATTCCTTTTACTTAAGGGGATTCATCATTTCCATTTTACAGAAGTTAAGATGTTAAGTGCAGT